GTCCTGTACCCGCGAACCTCGATTAGAGTAAATGGGAGTGTGGCCAATGATTTTTGGCGGTGGGGTTGAATCGTCCGGGCGGAACGGGGGATTCCTGTTTCACATTGAGGCAGATCTTGAGTTTGGGTCGTCGTCAGTGGCAAAAGAGAGAGACCAGGAAAGGAAAAGGGGGTTGTTTCGAAATGACGGCTCTGGCCGAAGCAGGGGGTAGAGACACGCGTGCAGCCCTCAAGGCCAAGGCCAAAGGTACACTGATTTGATGGAACGGGCCGTCCCGAAGCTAGCCCGAAAAAGGCAAAGGATGACCGAGCTGGCCCACGGTAAACAGGTCCGTAGCTACGAGGCCCGGAATGGAAATGCTGGGCCCCAGTACTAGTATAAATTGGGGGACCTAGTGCAGGTACGTAAATGTGCACGCGACCGGAAACTCGCTCCCAAGTTCTCTGGCTGTTTTCGCGTTGTCGAACTCGGACCCAACGGCGCTAACACGGTGCGCATCGCGCCTGAGGCTAGCGTCAGCCATAGCTCCGTCCCCATCGTCAGACATACCTCCTACCTCCGTCTCCTTCCTCCTTCCGATTTTCCTCCCTCTTCTTCCTCGGAAAGCGAGGAAAACGACGACGATCTAACCCTCTCTCCTCTTTCTCCCTCTTGTCCCTCGTCCTCCTCTCCGACCTCGCCATGAGTTTCATCACGGAGCGGGTTCTCGACGCACAGCTGCGGCAGCCACGTGGCCACATCTCAGAGATCCGGCAAGTTTGTCACCTTCGGCTCAATACGGATCTCCGCCGTTTGATGCGATTCTTCTGCGACGAAGGTATCTGTGCCGCCGCCGCGTTTCGGATAGAAGGAAGCCCTCACGCGATAGTGTTCGCGGAGGTTACTGCAGTTCATCGGCGAGCGGGTCCCAGAACGAGCCACGTCACCACAGTGGCGGCATTCACCGGCGGCATCAGCTCGGTCAATCCGCTGCGGCATACCGCGATCTTGGCCTCACTGCGCGAGTGGACGGAGCAAGTGTCCAACGTGTGGCAGCACGTCCTCGCCCGGGAGGGGTATAACATTATCCCGATCTTTGCATCGGACCTTGACGACATTCGCCGGTCACCGCGCGAGCGGCCGGTTGCGATCCCAACCCTCGTCCCCTTCCCCCATCCCCAATGAACGACGCCAATGTTCTCGCCCCTCTCTCTATCTTTGCTCTCCCCTCTTTCTTCCCCACCTTCTGGCAATCCAATCTCCACCCCTCTCTCTCCTTCTCGTTCGAACCTCTTTCGGTCCCTCTTATCAATCGTGGACAATGGCGGCTGTGGCGCGAGACTTTTGAGGAGTTGTCCTTCTGCCTGGCCCGAGTACACGTGAAGTGGACGGGCACTATCGAGCACCCCACGTGGATCGAGAATCCGGAGCTGCTGATCATACAGGGTTGGAGGACTAACACGGAAGGAGATCTTATTGGATTCCTCTTTGGATCGGTACGATCGGGTCGCCGTCAGTTGATTGCACAAGAGCTCATCGCACCGATCGTGCAATTGGCGGACGATCTCTCGCCCGACATCTACTTTCAAAGCGACAACAGTCCTGCTCCGTACATTTTCGAGCGATCCTTGGATCCGTACCTTCAGTGGACTTCGTGCTTGGAGGAACCTAGGGACGAGGATACGCTACCATCGCGGCAGGAGTATCTAAAGCCGTACGAGATCATCCCTTACGCCTTCTACCCGAGGGCAGAAGAAGTGGTGATTGACGACAACGACGACGAAGAAGAAGATGACGACGAGGAGACATCGGAGGAGGAAAGCTATAGTGAACATAGCGAGGGCGAGCTGAGTGAGGAGGAAGAGGAAGAAGAAGAAACAAGGTCCGAGTGGGAAGCCTCGCCGGAGGAAGTGACGGGTACGGGAACGGAGGCGGAAGATCCGGAAGCGACGCGAAAGCGCGAAGAGATTGCCTCCGGAAAGCGCCAGCTGGAATTCGCTAGCAAGGCTAGCCTGCACATCGGTAGCGATCCAACCAGGGATCCAGAGCCGCCGAGGCCCGAAGATGGCGACCCTGCAACCGCCACCTCAAGTACCGCGCGACAGAGACGGCGCCGATCCCCCTCCTCCTCTAGCCCCACCCGTCCCCCAATTCGCCCACGTACCAATGCGGGCGATAGGCCTTCGACCCCGGACGATGCCCCGCCGACCCCTTGGTTTTCTAACCCTCGAGCAGATCCGTACCCCCGTCACCTTCCCTTCCCATCCTTTCCATCCCCATCTCTTCCGCGACTTCTACTCTACCCGCCTACTCGCCACCGTCCACCCCCACGCCTCCCTCCAAACCGCTGCCCCCACGTTCTGCTGGCATCTCCTGCTGTTCAGCGCTGCATGGGAGCGAAGCAACGTGGTAGAAGTTTACTCCGTCGCCACGGGGACGATTTCCGCTTGCCGCCACTTCGAGATCTTTCGATCGGCGCTCTTCCGCACCCTCTCCTCCTTCTATCGCGACTACCTCGCCTCCCTCCCCCGCAGTGGCGATCATTTCCCCCGCTTCCACCGAATCATCTGATATGAGGAGCTCCCGGTGACGATGGAAGGGATGAATCGCTTCCTAACCCCACTCCCCCCCCGTCATCCCCGCGAGATCCCCGGCATGTACCGCCTCTACTAGCCTATTCCAACTAGGCGGTAGATCCCATTCAATCAGGTGGACCATGATGGCGTCACCTGGACGATCTCTACGAGGCAGAGGGTTTGCATATGACAGGGCTGCGGAGATCTTGCCACGGATGTTATCGC